AATGTCCCCAACTAAATAACTTACAATTTGACTCTTGTAGCTTCCTTTTTTTTTCCCCGATTCATTTGCTATCTTGGAAAACCCAGGATGTTACTAATGATGATCTCATGAGTGTATCAAAGATATCGTTAACATTTTTAATTAACATAGCCACATATCTAAGACTCAAAATCAAAATATTATAAGGATAAGTTAATTTGATTCTCCCATCTGTCAATCCCAGTGCCCAAGGATTTTCCAATCTTACTGTTTTAATTTTTGTTTTATACCATTTGAAATACACACACATATAATATGTCTCTTTCATATTTCAAATCTTACTATATTCATTTCATCTTCTTTTTATTTTGGCTCATGTTCTCACTTTTATTTTTCTTTGATTTTAAGGGACAATTGCTCAAAAATCCCTCATCAACAAATTTATTGCTCCAAGGTATCTAGAATTTGTGTAAGGACTCTTAGGTCCTTTAGAAGAATATAATAATGTTGGATAGTTACATTAGCAAAATGTCCATACTTAATCTTCTAGGGATGTACATCTATCAAAACATCTAGTTACATTTTCATAAAAACTAAAGATATATTCAAATATCCAAAACCATTATTATGGAAAAAAAAGAAATATTCAAAATATCCAATTGCATTTTCATGAAAATTGAAAATATATTTGAATATAGATGAACATTGTCCAAAAAATTAAATATATATTTGAATATGCATACTTGATATCATGAAAAAGGTTTTCTTGTAATATGCAACACTCTCCGGCCCAAATATGCATATTTCTTCCATATATCCAAGGAAGCTACCGTTGGGTCCAAAATACTGTCATGATGTTGCATATTTCACTAGGCGCAATAAATCTTCCATGAAATGATAGTTTCTTTTGTTGTATGCAACTTTCTTTCATTGGTGCACATTTTCTTCATCCACATACAAGATCCTTTAGGAATATGCAATATTGTACCCGTCAAATGTAAAACTCTGTCATAAGGTAGCATATGTTCTTAGGTGCAATACATCACTGATGATATGCAAATATCTTTCATAAGTGCATGTAACATCCTGGATTTTCAATCCTTAGATTAAATGGACTAATCAAGATTAAATAAGTAAAAAATTGAACATTGATTAGTTTAAGGATGGTTTGGAATGGCCAATGGAATGAGTTCGAAAGTGTTTTGTGTAATATCCACCTTGATATTACTATAATGCACTACATTACACTATCACAACAACCAGGATTAAGTAAATCCTTATTTTAGGTCATCATGAGACAAGGGTTGAATTTTAAAAATAATAAGATTTGGGATCCTGAAATCATTTTTCAAAAGTATTTAAGCTCAAACAAGAGTTTAAAACATCATAAAAGAGGCATAGAAGCATGGCAAAGGAAATTATCACAAACATACATCAAACAAGTGCAATTTGGACATAGCCCAAATTGCTCTATCCGTCGCAGCACAGGTATCACTTGCCGTGTTGGATGGCACAAAGGGGGAAACCCTTTCACTGTGTCTAATGAAATAAAATCTGAATTAAAAATAGTCATACAAGTCCAGCAAAGATGGTGAAGGTGCGGTGGAGTCAACACATCACCCCTCGTAAGTAGGATTACAACATCTAAAGGCATCATAAATTTTTTATTATTATTATTATTATTATTATTATTATTATTATTATTATTATTATTATTATTATTATTATTATTATTTTGATAAAAGTTGAGCTAAATTTGGGGTTGTATGATGATGATTTTCAAACTTAGGACTATAGGCCTGAACTCAATGATCTAAATGGAACCAACAGGAGTTGTTTAAATATTTTACATCTAATTTAAAAGTTTTTACAAGGTTTTGATCTAAAGAGTTATGGGAGCTAATTGAAGTTAATAAGAGTTAATAAACTTATGAATTGTGAGATTGAGGTTGTGATTAGAAAAGTTGATTGTTAAAGTGTGAAATTAGAAGTTAAAAGTGTTGATTTTGTTGATTCTCAATGGTATTGGTTAATGTAAATTGTAGGCTAATCTCATAAAGTACCAGGGAGCCTAAAATTAGCTTGGAAGCAAGTGATAGTTAAGGATGACCTTTGAGTTCTCAAATGTTTGATATAATCAAAAGAATTTATTTCGTGTTATTGCTTGTTAATTAATTATAGGTGGTTGTGAACTTTGTCAATATATTTTAATATATCAAAATATATGTATGTTGTTTTATTTTCAAAAATATGCAAGACTTTGTACATTAATGTAATCGCAAAATATGAAAATAAGGATTTTAATTTTTGAATTTGGTAAATGTTGATGAATATGAGTACGATGATGATGACATTGTGATATACTATGTGATTTAGCATGTGATAATTTAGCATGATCATATTGATAGCGAGAGTATGCCTTAGGGGAGTAGTGATTTGTGTCCATATGGACCACAACAACACCACAAGCTCTCGATGTTTGGTTTTATGTAATACCCTTACCCCTATCTAGCGAAGGTGGTAATAGGGCTTACCCTTAAACCCTAACTAACGAAGTTAGTAATGGGGTTATGTGATACCATTGTATTTGAGATGGGGAATTCATGGTCCGAAAATAAGTGTGGGGCCTTTTAGTCTGGTCACCCCTTATAATTGGGGAGCTTAGACTAACTCAATCACATTTAGCTCCTAGTTATTGTGTAGCCTATGGATTCAATTAGTAGTGATGGAGGTTTGAAGATATGGATGATCATGCATTACACTATAATGTGATTGATGATGATGTATGTTGAATAGTTTTATGATTGCCCACTTTGCATGCTTATTGTTATTTGACTTGTATGAGCATGACTGAGACTACCTTGATTACTAAGTGACTATACTCACCTCTTGTTTAACATTTTATAGGTATTAGTTCCAGCTAAAACAAAGGAAAGACTCTCGAGGCTTAAGAACTAGTTTTCCTATTGTAATGCCTCATGCTTATTTTGATTTATGTGTAATTAACATTGATATTGCCAACTAAGATGATTATTTTGGTTACTCGCACCAATGCATACATTCTTAGTTTATTATTAGTACTTTGTGCCTTAAGCTAAGTTGTGTGAGTTAATCATGTTTAATTAGGGCCAAAGTATCAATGCAAGTATATTAGAAGTTGTTTTGAAAGTTGTAAAGTATATTTAGATAATTTGAATGATGTTGACCTCCCCCTTGTTTTTTGATGGATATAGGGTTGTGGAGTGAAAATGAGATCTAGAATGTTTTTGTGTATTGCAGTGTGTTACACAGATAGTCCTAGGTCCTTTAAGTTTGGCCTAGGTGATTGTTTGAGCTTCAAGTACTTGGTATGGGGTTTGGACACCTTTTATTGTGTAAAATATGATTAGTTTGTACTTAGGTGTTCAACTTCTTAGTATGAAATAATTTAAAAATAAAACTAATACTATTAGTTCTTTTACTGAATGAGTTTTTTACAAATACTTAAATCACATCAATTGGGTACTGGACAAAGATTAGTGGTGCGTCAAAAATTAGCCGTTGAATCTGTCACAGGAAAGCACAATGTTGTTAAATTTTGTACAATGCGTTGCGACGTATGATGTTTGTGTCTCAATGAATGGCACAGAGAGCACTTGGTTGTAGTACACTGAACTTTGGCTATGGCAGATGGGTCATAATGCTAGAAAATAACATTTTAAAGTTTTACCCCTTTTATACAAATATTTTTAAGTTTAATTAGTATCTCATATTTTCGTACATTTTATAACTCTAACTTGAAACTATTTCAACTTCAATCTTTTATTCTTAAATTTGTAAAACTTAGTATTCCATTTTGAATAAAAGAATTTTCTATTTTATATGGTAGACTTATATAGCCCATGCTTAATTACCATGGTATTGCTTGATTAAAATGGTTAAGTGAGTAGTATAATTATATGATATTATAGTGTACATGTTTTTCCATAAAGAAATTTAACATTCTCAAATATTGACACTGAAGAACCTTGGTCTTTTAAAGCTCTCAAATATTGACACCAAAGGACCTTCGTCTTTTAAGGACATTTAAATCATTTACTGTTCTCAAATATTAATATCGAAGGAGCTTGGTCCTTCTATAGATTTCAGATACCTTAGAAAAGTAAATTTGTTAGTGAGGGATTTTTGGGCAATTTTTTTTTAAAAATTATAACATATATAGCACACATTTTCTTGCATATTCCCAACCCCCCTTCCCCCAAAAGTAACCAAATTAGATAATTAACCAAAAAATTAACTATAGGCATTTGGATAGAATGCAGCTATTGGAGCAGGAAGGATGATGTCGATCCACTTTTGTTCCTTCCACATTTGCGCACAGTCCGAGGTTTGTTATTTGCTTGCCATTTACGGTCATACACCCCCAACTTGGAAGCCTGCCAATTACTAAGTTACACGTGGCCTTCTCACGGTCAACGACTGCAGAACGCTTGAGGACCTTTACCTGATGCTCAAACTAATAATGATCACACTCAAGAACCACCAAATCAAGAAATTTTAAATAAGGATCAAAGAGCCTGGGGGAACTTAAAGTCTTTTTTTGTTTAAAAAGAAAAAAAGAAAACGAGCAACTCAGTTGGAAGTTTTTTTATATAGTGAAAAGTTTTGTTGAACATTGAAAAAAATTAAAACTGAGTGCATGCTGAAAAAAATTATAAGATGAACAATAAAACAATCAAACTCTAAGTGATAATAAAAATTGCTGAAAAAGTTTTGAAAAAAAGTGCATTTTGATCGACATAAAAAAAAATCTTAATTCATCTCAAGGACCTTGGCAAACTGACATTAATTTAAAAATGTGAAGAATTCATTAATGCTCTTGAAATGTCCTCAAGTGTCATTTTCCTCATAAAACAAACCACTCTGATCTTGACAACCTAATCCACCTTCAACGAATTGTTTGCTCTTCTTCTTCCTTATGAAATCCAAATGCGCATCACTATTGGTCATCTTGATGAGCGCTATAAATAGTTATAGTTTGATCGTACAGAAACATCGATCAGACATCAGAGATTTACATATCACCTCGTGATCATCATACAGCTACGCCAAAAAGGGTGGGTGAAATTTGACAGAGAAAGAGAGAGAGAGAGAATGAAGGGAAGCACAAGCACAGTTCAAGCTGGGGAAGTTTCAAAGGGAAAAGCATCAACAAAAATGATGAATCGAGGGCTGTCAGTGATGGACTTGATTCTCAGAATCGCTGCAATCACTGCAACATTTGGTAGTGCCGTGGCTATGGCTACTTCTCACCAGAGGCTTCCCTTTGTCACTCAGTTCCTTCACTTCAGGGCCAAGTTTAACGATCTTCCCACCTTCGTGTATATATGTCTTTCTCTCATCTTCTTCATCACCTTAAACCTTACCTCTCTTATTTACATGCGTGTATGTATGTATGCATCATCACTGACAAGCTAAGGTTGATTTATATATGTTTCCATTTGATATTATATTGCAGGTTTTTTGTTCTTGGAAACTCTATTGTGTGTGGCTATCTTGTTCTTTCTATTGTCTTCTCTATCTTCCACATAGCCAGACCCACTGCTGTTAAGAGCAGGATTCTCTTGCTCTTCCTCGACGCGGTAAGCACGCATGTTTGATATACAGAAAAAATGTTTTTAATAAAAAGAATGAGAGGTCCATATATTTCGTTATGAAAAACACTCTTCGAAAATATAATTTTTGATCTTTAAATTTTTTTAGTAATTGATTTAGCTTTTGAACCTTGAGTCATAACAACAAAGTTCTTATATTTTTTTTTAACTCAAAACCATTCAGTCTTTACAATTTATTGGCTTCATACAATTTATTCCTTCTAATTTTTTAACTCAATAAACCACGGTGATTGAGTTGTATTAAATTAAAGTTATTTATAGTAACTAAATAAATGGTTAAAGAAAAGTTTAGGGTCTAAAAGTTGTAATCCACTCTGAATCTGTATTTGATGCATTCCAAACATAAAATATTACTGTTCCGCTAATATGTCATCTAGTATAGTATGCTGAAAAGCTCACAGATTTTCACTTTGAATAGTCTAAAGTGAAAACGGCAAAAGGAGGTGTGTGTCCAGTAAAATACAATATACCAAGAAAAATACCCAGAAAAGAATCATATTTAAAATTTTGATAATAGACATATAATTATCAAACATTCCTATATATATATATATATATCTCGTCGGTTTATGGACTTTAATATATGGCATCTCTATGGCTCCAAATTAAAATTAAGACCTACAATAAGCAATAAAGGAATATAATTGTACGCTATAGTTATATATACAAAGTTAAAATTTGGTAAGATGACATTTTGCAATTTACTATCCAAGACCTTGGTCTTTTCCTAAAGATAAAATATTTTGTGTGATTAAAATATGATCAAATAAAAGGATCAAAGTTCTAATCAGTATTTCAAAATTATATTCAAAGTCCCTATTTATATTTAATTAGTATTCTTCTTTGATCTACAAATATCATTTTCCCTTAAATTTTTGATTTGAAAGTTAAATTAAACCATAGGTTTTAGCTTTTGCACTAAATTTGAAATGAGTTAAATGACCCATGGACTAAACATACAAGAGGAGGGTGTGTGTGTGTGTGTGTGTGTTGGTTGTGACTTGATGATATTGACTTTTTTTTTTTTGGGCCAATTGATATTGACTAATTGAGTTATGCAAATTAGTAAGCTAAGGTTTGTGCAGGTGGCCATGGGGTTTCTAACGTCAGCAGCCGCAGCTGCGGCGGCGATCGTGGAGACGGCACACCACGGAAATCCGAGCACGAATTGGTTCCCAATCTGCCAACAATACAACAGCTTCTGCCAGCGCATTTCTGGGACGCTTATCGGCTCTTTCATTGCTGTGATTGTATTGATCATTCTCATCCTCATTTCTGCTGTTTCCATCTCCCGAATTCATGCCTGAAACTTTGACGACGTCGACGACGACGAGGAGAACTGTGTGATAATTTGTTAACTAATTTCCATCGTGTGTGTGCTTTGGTTGGACTTTGAGGCTCCAATATATTGTTTATTATATGGGTTTTCTGCTTTTTCATTTCATAGAAAACACTATCATTGGGATTGTTTGCATATGGCTGAAGTGTATTTTTATTCCTCTAATTTTATACGAGTTTTTATTTTGATTCCTTAAATTTATAAAGTGTTTTTTTAGATTTTTAATTCTAATACAATTACAAAAAATCCTACATTAAACTTTTAAATATTAAAAAAATAATTTTAAATGTTAACATATTAAATTTAATTCTTTAAAATAACAATGCAAAAAAATAATAATTTAAAACTAATAATATTAAAATTAAAAAAAACTTTATATAAAATTAGAAAGGATCAAAGATAATCTTTAACCCATATTTTAATTGAAGCCCATTCGGATGGGAAACTGTTTCCTCGCTCATCACCTTCTAGAATCTCCAAATTAAAATTAAATGTTCTAGATTTAATATTATTTTATTTTTATATTTTTGGTAAAGAATAATTTTAATGAATCTAAATTTAAAATAAAGGTAATCTCCTACTAACAGTTTTTCTTTAATAAATTACTTTATCATTTAGAAATTACAAAATAGAAAAAATTAAATTTAAACCATCCAAAATAAATTTAGACAGTCAAGATATTACTGCAGCAATGAGCATCATTAAGCACCAAAACATTTGGATGCGGATGTATTTATATTTTTTAATTCACAGATCAATAATATAACTTAATTAATGGCAAGTTTACTTATACTCTTTTAAAAGTTTCATCATGTTTCTAGTCTATGATCAAATTGTGTTAACTTCACCCATATAAAAAAAATCCCCAAATTAAAGTCAAATTAGCGTATTGGTTTTATATTAAAAACAACCAAATCATATGTTTTGTAGACACTTTACACCGTGAATCCAAACACGTACGTAAAAATAAAGTACCAATCTTGGCCTTCATCTTAATCATGCATTCTAATTTTTTACAAATTAATATGTATGCGCTCTCTCTAGTTTTTAATATAAGAAAAACTTAAAAAAAATAGTTTCTGTTAGGGTTAATGAATAAATAGGACCCTGAACTATTGTTCAAAAATCATCATGGACTCTAAACTCTTAAAATATATAAAATAAATCCTAAACTTTTGAATTTATAGCAAAATAAACCCAGATCGTTAACTTTTTAATACCATTACTATTCATGCAGGTACTTTTTAAGATTTATTTTTTCACAAATTTAACCCTGATTGTTATAGTATCTGCATGGACAGTAACAATGTTAAAAAGTTAACAATTAGGATTTATTTTGCTATAAATTTAAACGTTTAGAATTTATTTTACATATTTTAAGAGTTCATGATTCAAAGTGATTTTCGAGTAAGAGTTCATTTGCTCATTAACCCTTCCTAATATAAGGCAAAGTTAGAACAATTACTATTTTTTCAATTTTATCCCTCGTTTATTTATTATCATTTAATTTGTAGACAACAATGTACCCTCTCTAGATCAAAATATAGAATATTAGTAACTAATTTAAGGCTTAAAAAAATGTTAGTTGAAACTTTAATTTCTTAAAAATATTTACATGTTTCTTATTTTATTCTCATTAAATATCCTATATAAGTGCTTTGATAATGATAATTAAAATTTTAATACATCACTTTTTTCAAAAAGAGTAATAAAGAAAGTAGGGTATAGTTGAAAAAGAATTATAAAAGTTATCCAATGTCTTATACTTTGAATTTGAACCAGGCAAAGCTTCTACAAAATGTTCTATATTGTATTTCCTTCGTCCTTATATATAAAATATTTTTTACTAAATCACGCAAAGTAATAAAAGTTAATTTTCTAATTAAAAGCAAAGCAACAGTTTAATTTTTCTCCTAATTATTGTAAATAAAAAATAATCTCTTCTTTTAAATTAAATTAATGAAAGTACTTATTTTTCTCTCTTTTCAATTTAATAAAAGTATAATAGTCCATTCATTAAAAATATACTTACAACCTCTTACATTTATGAACAAAAAAAAGTTTTAGAAAACCTTTTACATATAGGGACAAAAGGAGTAGTTTGTTGTGATTATTAATTGCAAGATAAAATTAGAAAATTATGTTTTTAAAAAAAATTAAAGAAATAAATATCATTCCTTAATAAATAGAAAATTGGTTAAATTTGTCTTCTATTAAGAATGGGATTACACGTTGGGATTGAAAACTATCTCCATTTGATGTAACAACCAAATCATATGTTGTGGTTTACACACAATTTAATTAGTTTGTCCCTCATATCCATATGTTTCATTTATACTCCTTCCGTTCCAAATTGTTGACCACTTTTAAAGGAATTTTTTTATCTAAAAATATAAGATATTTTGAATAAATTAATATTTTATTAAATACATTAATTTTAATATTACACTTTCTCTCTATATAATTAATTTCATTCATTATCTCTTTAATATATTAAATTATGAATATTTTTAAAAATTTATATTTTTACTTTTGTTAAGTGTATTTAATGAGGTTTATTAATATGTGAGGTTTTATTTAAAAAAATCTTATATAATTTTGGATGGAGGGAGTATTAATTATGTGCTTTCCTAAATAAAGCAAATTTAACAATGGGATAAATATTCATACATATTATTATATTCTGAAAGGTCATCCTCAGAATTCTCATACAGTTTAATAATCCCGTGCACAACGGCTAACGCACGAAGACTCCTAAACACGTCATGTACACGGTGTATGTCTTATATATAATTAATTATTAATTAATTTCCCTTCCGCGTGCTTTAGTTGGAGTTGGACTTTTTTAAGTTTGAGGATATTCAATGTATTATTATATTGTATGCGTTTCCTTTTCTTAATTTAATTTTAATAGCAAGCTCTACCATTCTTCTGCTGAAATGTTTGCATATTTCAATTTAAGCCCATTGGGATGAAGGCGCATTTAATTCACAGACCACAAAGATCACTAGCTAATTGGTTAGTTTAATTAGCCTCAGAGTTTAAGTTTTGTCATGTTTCTATTTTATGATCATATTTTGTCAACTGCATATATATATATATATATATATAAATAAGTTCCTTTGTGAAATTAGCTAATACACATGCCTTGACTTTTGATATTTTTAATCTCTCAAACTAATTTGAAAATTTTTAGATATACTAATTAATTGGAAAATTAAAATTTATGTAAAAGATAGTTGGGAGTTATTGATTAATTTGACTTTCTATGTTTTTTATTGTTAATATTTAAAAATATTGTAATTTAAATTTTATTAATTAACATTTTTGAAAACATTGAGGTGTTCTTGCCTTAAAAAAAAAACAATGAGGCATGCTTTCGCCAATCCATTTGGCAGCACATAATTTGCAATGTTATTATATACTCCTTTCATTTAAAAATATAAAATATTTTTTAAAAATTTAAATATTTAAAAATATAAGGTATTTTTAATTTTTTGAGATATAATTATTTTTTTAAAAAGTGTCCCTATTAATGAATGACTTTATATTTATTGTAGGATATTTAATAGGGATAAATATAAAAAGATAGGGTTAGTTTGAAAGTAGGTAACTATTTTATTGTAATATAAGATTTAATTAAAAATGTCATATATATATTGAACCAAAGGAGTATATATATATATATAATTCACTTTGATCCAAAATATAAAGAGTTTTAAATTTAATTTTAATTGGAAATTTAAGTAACATAATATGTATAAAAAATTTATTTTTTATTGAATTTATTAATATAAATTTTTATATAAATTTATCTCTCATTTATTATGAAATGTATTGATAATTGGATTAGGAGTAAAAAAAAATAATATATAGTTTATGAAAAAAAACTTTATTAACATGTAAATTTTTTTAAAAAGTTTGTTTATATTATGAATTAGAGAACTATTACAATTTCTTTTCACACGGCTTAGTGGTTGCTTTCATCAGTGCTTGCGCCATCCTTTTGGATAAGCAACGCGTGCCAACCTTCTTAGCCTATTAACAATTACCAATAACTAACTTAGAAAGCTCCTTTTCGTTTGGTTTCAATTATTGATTTATGGTACGGCATTTGCCAATTGTAGCCCTCAATCATTTTAAAATCATCATTACAAAATGAACGCAAACAAATTGATGTTTTTATTTTTTTAAAAAACCATGTTTAGGGGACATTCTTTTGATAAGAATCATATATTATGGTATTCTCTTGTGTCGTGCACCACAGCCCACAACACGTGTGGGTCACAGCACACAATATATCAATGCAGTGATAGTATGAGCGGTAAAATTTAACTTTAATTAGGTATAACTTTTCATACACATATCTAATTTGAGTGATTTAATTGTTTATGTAAAACTTAATTAAAAAATAATCTAACAAATAGTTTTGGTTTGGTGCAAAAATTCTTTTAAATAAGAATTTTATCCACATATTCTTATTTAGGAACAAATAATTATTTTTCAACAATTTTATACTTCACCAACCAAACCAAAGCCATAGTCAATGTGCATGCCACTTGACTACTACTACACACATTCCAAAAAAGAAACCTACATATGCACATTTATAAATATAATTAAAACTTTTATAATTAGGTTACAGCTACTCTCACCCAACATAGTTGATATAGCAAAAGCAATATATGAATTGGCATAAGCAAATTTTGTACTTCAAACTCATTGTTAATCATTCAATCATTTCAAAATATGACCATGAATATAGACTTTTATCAAAAGTAAAGAGTTATATGCTCATAGTACAAAATAAATGTACTAAGGTTGGCAATGTATACATAAAATACTGAAAAGACCCTACTAATTAAGTGGTGATCCGCACAGCATAATCTCAAGTATTTCTTTAGCCAACGTCTTTCCTTGAAAAATTGTTAACAACAAAGAAGGAGATACAAATGTTCTAGTAATCAAATCTAAAATGACATAATGTATGTAATGTAATTAATCATACAATTGTTAAGTGAGTAAGTAAAACACAACTCTAAACACTTATATTCAAGTTTCAAATACAAAAGTATATGACTAACACCTTATTTTAATTTTTCTTTATACCCTGCTCAATACTCTAGCTCTTTTGGTTAGAAATAAACTAGTTAAATCCGCACGAGCCACCTTACATAAGGTGATTAAATTTAACAAAATCTTGCATACTATTAAAAATTTGTCATTTAATTGACAACAAATAATTAAAACCACAACAATTTTTCATAATTAATATTATAATGATGGGCAAAACATACAGTTATTATTTTTCTTTTTAAGACAATGAGAGCAAAACTAACCAATTACTTGAAATTTTATGACATGCCACCCCTTATATTTAAAGACACAATAAGTTTTTAGAACACACTCTTTATACATAAAGATATATAGGGATGGAAGGAATCGTCATTTTATGTTATGTGGTAATTAATACTCTTTGATTAAAGAAGTAATTGGAGACTTTTGTTCTTCGGATTAAAGTAAATTTTATTTATACGTACTTGCTTGATTAAATTATTTTTGGTTTCACGTTAAAAACCATTCACAATTTTACTAATTTTTGTAAAAACAAGTAAACTAACTATTTGCATTTTTAACATGAAACCAAACATCCATTTAAGCATTTAACTACCGATTAAATGACTTGTTTTGCATGACACACACACAGACAGTGGTAACTTCATCACGAGCTTTCTGATTGGATGTGACTGAGCTTCGATTCCTGTTGTCAAATAATAGATGTATGTCGAGAAAGAATCTGATCTGACGATGAATGACGTGGATCCATTTGAATACATGTCTAAATTAATAATCCAATCAATCATATTCTTCATTGGCCATATCCTCGCAGATAATACACTTGGTTTACTAACATTGGTGGTTGATGACGCTGCTACTCTGTTTCATCTCTTGAAACTTCCCTGAATCTCCTTCTGCATAATTATTGTCCGGCAATAATATCTGAGGTTTGACGACAAAAGAATCTATTATTCTAGAATCGGAAGCGTTATTTTGAAGATCAAAGGTTGAATTATAGCGTTGATCGGAAAATATCTGTGAAACTGATGATGATGAGCCCTGATGATAATAATCCATACCCACAAGACGAGCAATTGAACAAGTCCTCGGAACATGTTTCATCATTTCTTGCTCCTCACTCTTATAATAATAATAATTTCCTGTAGCTGTTTCTTTGCCATTCGCAGTACTGAGAAATTCCTCTTTCTCCATTATTGTCTCCCCCGTGTTCTTCTTCTTGATCCTGCACAAAACCCAGTCATCCAACTGATGACATCACATCCAAACGCACAGATAACGTCAAATATAATCCGATCAATACGTAAAAAACATTGAAAGATAGAACATCCTAATTCAAAATTTTAAAGATTAGCGTCATAAACCCAATAAAAGACGTTACATCTTGGCTTAAAATAAAAACTAAAGACTCAAGTTTATGGTCTATTCATTTTCTTATACTCCCTAGTCCCTATTATATTTACGCCAATCAATATAGTAATGTTATTAATTTTGTCTCAAAATATAATAAATTTTTAATTTTATCCTTGCTTTTATTTTTTTTTTGAATTTGCATTATATTTTATTTCATAATTAATGAGTTTAAATAGAGATAATATTTAAAAAATATAATTAATACCCATTAAGTTCTTTATATTAAGAGCTACAAATATTTTTATAGAAGACGCTGTATAATAAGAATCGGATGAAGTGTTAATTATTAAATCTAATTTCATCTGAGAGAAAACTTCCAATATCTACTCCAAGTCTATCGGCATTTAAACGTCCAGATAAAAACCAAATGAAACTAAATCAGAATCAGAAGAATGAGAAGGGGGTTACTCTCATGGAGCCAAGGTGATTGTTGGGTTGTGTTGTGGTGGAATGAAGGAGTCGATACTCATGCATGATCCAACCAGTCTTGACACCTTTTGGTGGCTTCCCTTTGTAGAAAACCAGAGCTTTCTTCACCCCAATATGCTTCGACCCACTCAAGATGGCCTTATCGGTCCCAGTGGCCTTCCAATACCCAGACACTGCCGCTCTGTTTGGCCTCACTCCATTTGGGTACTTCCTGTCTCGTGGGCTAAAGAAGTACCATTCTTTCTCTCCAAACTCTGCTTTCTCTGCATCATACATATAATACCATAAACAAACACTACGTACGTTCACAAGGCAAGCACTAAACAAAGACATATACATATATATACCAGGCAAGTCCCAAGGATCAAACTTGTAGATATCAACTTCTGGGATGATAGAATAAGGGCATGGATTTGATGTGTATTGGTTAGAGAGGTAATACACGATGAGTTCTTCATCGGTTGGGTGAAACCTGAAGCCAGGAGGGAGGCCCTGCTCCATTATCAATTGTTGGTGGAGAGAAAGGAAGGTGTTTGAAATGTTTGACCGGAGATGAATGGGTCTTTTAAGCTTGAGGGTTTTTTGTCGTTTTGTGGACCTAAAAGCATCTGATTGGGTGCGGATACGACTTTTGCAAGCCCGGTGTGTGCGTCACTTGGCATGCATTGCCATGCTCCCGTTTGGGACCCGCATCAGCATCACTTCACGCTTATCCATATATCTGACTTTTGTCCCATTTCATCGTGCGAAAATTGTGCCAAGCGACCATATTGTTGAAATATTTCGGAGGAAGAGCCAAGTTTTGAAAATCACAGGAAGAGATCGTTATGAGTCTGGCATTGTTTGGAGAGCTTCATGCAAAAATTGGTTTTAGGTATTTAAAGTGTTCCTCATTGTGAGTCTCACAAGGAAAGAAAGATTTATATATTTAAAGTGTTCTCCACTAACTAGTATTTTAAAATGAACTCCCTCTCTAAATTTGTGTTTAAAAGTTGATTACAGATTTACTTGTGTATTTTTAATATTCAAAGCTTAGTTCCAAATATTTCATTTAATATGGGGAGCTCATGCGATATTTTCAAATTATTTGGAAATCCAGCCCTTAATGTCCTAAACAGCATTATGCTCAATTCTCTATAGAATATTATTCGCATATGTCAGTGTTGCTGCTAAACTTATTTATAGCAATGCAAAGGACTAAGCATCCTTTAAGTACTATGGAATCTAAATAGCGATGTCTCCCGCGACCCGCGATTTTTTTTGTATTCATAAAACTTGATCAAATGATGTTGTACCAAAAAAAAAATTATTTCTTTGGGATTTTTCGAATAATATGATTTTGTATATTTCATATTTTGAGATCATGGGTCTAAATTTAATCACTTAAAAGGTGTACTTTTTCATATCATCCAATTAAATTTACAAGTCTACACTTAAAGATTAATTAAATATATTCATTTTTGAATACATACATATTTCATTTGTTAAAAAATATAAGATATTTTCAATCAAATTTTACCCCCAATTGAGTAGTTACTTTTCTTTAAATTAACATTATCTTTTCATATTTACCCTTATTTAATAGGATGTTTCACTTTAAAATAAATAAAAAATAATTTATTTCTTTATTTATTGTGAGTACTTTTGAAGAAAAAAATATATTAATTACACCTTAAAAAATAAAAAATACTTTATATTTTTTAATGAAGGGAATATGTAAATAAAAATCTATTGCACAATGGAGGAAATTCTCGCTTCAATATATATATATATATATATAACCCTAGTATTGAAATTAAAGAATCATACTATTTGATAAAGTTTGAAGGGAAAATCTCACTCAAAATCTGGAGCCTATTAATGATAATAAATAAATAAAAAGGAATCTTAGATTCTGAATTCTCTCTAAGCATTTAAAGGACCTATGTAAAAATATGATTTAAAGAAAAAAGACGAAAATAGCTATGTTAAGAGAGACTCGAATTGCACTATGGTTACTTTACTTGTCATTATGTAAATATATGTATGCTAGTTGTATCAAGATCAACACTTGTGAAAAATTAAACCAAAAGTACTAAACAGACACTATATAAATTAAAAAAAAATACTAAAAGGCCAATGTTTATTGGTATCAATAAAAAGGTATAGCCTCTAAAGTACAAAATCAAAACTCGAGTTTGAATTCTTTTGAATGTAAATAAAAATGTTTTTCTCAATCGAGTTATTTTAATTTGGGGCATGATAAGAAGAAAACAAATGACGTGGAGTTGGATAAATGCTTGTATAGCCAAAAATGATTGGAGACGTGGCGTGTCATAATTCCTAAACGTGTCAAAATGATCACAGAAAAAGCGTTAGTCACGATGATGGTATGGCGTACATGGTTCGGTTGCTAGTGGGTTTGGCAGAACGGAATTATGAGTCTTTTTTAAGGGGCTTCTTTTCTATCATCTTCTACCAGTAAGTTGTTTTCTTTTCTTTTTTTTTCCCCCTTTCTTTTCTTTTCTTTTTTCTCCTTTCTTTTCTTTTTTGTTGTTTTTGTCCAATGATTTGTTCCATTTTGTCTAAACCATTAATAGTCTGTTTCTTTGGCTCAAGCGTAACAACAGAAGGTAGAATTTCAGTTAACACCCTAAAAAAGAAATTAATCACATACAAGTCTCAATGGATTTTCAAAGGGAAAGTATTTAAATATTTTTTTACCCTACTTATCTATTTTGTGAAAAATCAAACTTACTCCTCTGGTTATATTTATAGGGGTAGAAAGAGATGAAAAAATCTTGTTCTATTTATAAGGTACTTGTTAATTTTTAATGCTCTTCTTTACATTTATGTCATTATTAAATACTTTAAATAAAAATACTAGTAATGAAATTTAAGAATATTTATTAAGGGTAATGTGAAAACTTATCAAATTTCAAGATAAAGTTAATGAAGTTTAATTTTTTTTTAAATTCTGATAAAACAGACTAGAAGTGACTTATAAGTAAAATTAAAAAAAATATTAAACTTTTTCCTTCCTTCTTCTAGAGCCAAACAAGATTATGTTTGGTTTTAAAATCCTAGCAAGGTTGATCCTTTGACACTAAACCCTTTCATTATCTTCCACGTGTAGCATGCCATTGTAGCGGTAACGACATTGAACATGCAAGAGCACAAGACATATTTCCTGACATTGTTCCCACCTACTATTTCTTCTACTCATTGCTTTAGCAATCAGCATTAATCCAAATCATAGCATCCTTAAACATTTTTGTGAAGCCAGAATTAAATGCCATTATGCTATCTCGAGCAATCTATTTTTCTGTGATTGGCCATTAAATAAATGAATGCATGATTCCGATGAGGTCCACCGCCAACTCTGAAGTTTCAAAGCCCAAATGATCGAAGCTTGTTTCAGAGAGCGTAGAATGCTTTGAATATTTGATTGGTTAAATAAGGCTCAAGCTCAAAGACCGACCCAATGGGCCAAACGAGATATTGGGCTGAAATTCATTCAATCAAAAGGAAAGTTAAGGTCCAATTGTGGTTTCAAAATCAAAAATAGATGAAAAGGTTATTGCTATAATCTTCAACCGAAAACTTGATCGCAAGCACCACGCAGTCATTAAGTCAGTTTCCCGTTTTTGTGGCAACAATAAGACGCTTTATTTTTGCGTTTTTTTTTTGGGCCCGAAACAATAAGACGCTTGATCATCAATGATAAACTTCCTCCAATACAAAATATAAACATTTCCTCTCAATTAATCCTAGTTTAAAATATAAGCATCATAGGACATGCTTTTTCCCATTTTACTCCTTGTATTTATTAACTTAATTTTTTGTGTAAATATGTTTTTCACTTATTATAGAGTGTATTGGTAATTAAGACTACAGGTAAAATATATATATATATATATATATATATTATTTATATTTTGGACTAGAGGGAGTAAGTATAAGATATTCTATTACCAGCAAAGATTGGTCTACTTAAAAAGGATTTGGTCTATAATCTATAAAGTTGTACAATCAAGTGTTGCAGCCAACGTGAAGAGATTATTTGTGGACAATATATGTACACACTTTTAATTTGAGCCTTGAGGCATGTATGACTTGATTCCGAACTCGTCATAGATGTAATTATATATACTTGTAATTCCAAGGTTATAAGTAACCTTCCTTTCAAGGAAATTAGATGCTTCCCTCTCATTTAAGTGGAATGATGCATCATATCACAATAGAGCATAATCGATCTGCTTGCAAATGGTTTGGCAACAAGTCTTTTTACATAAATGGTATTACGATATCCTTTGCCTCAATGTTGCTTCTTTTTTTTTTTTTTTTAATTTCGATCGGCACAAAGCCCTCCTTGGCTTGCCACGAAAAAAGACAGTACTGTTTGAGGTGGTATGCGCAAATTAAAAAACACGCTCTCTCCTTTTCAGGCCTTGTATTCTTTGATTCTTTGAAAGAGATTCTCTCCAATCTAAGCTAACTCTAATAGCTAAAGAAGGACTATGGATCATAGGAGCCTTTAGCTGTGGAGTATGAAAATAGTAACTGTTATCGGAAGTGCATGTACAATAATATTGGAAGCAGATAAAAGAAGGCTTGAGGTTGAGGACAAGACAATGTACTAGCCAAAAGGGTAACATTTGATAGCAAGTTATCAAGTTTAATCCATAATTCTTCTATGGCCCTGAATAGTGAATACGTACTACGTTTGCCCTTTTGCTGTTGTTTGTTGTTATTGTTACTGTTGTTGTTATCATGCATTGTATGTATGGTGTATCAGTTAATTAATCCATACTCTCTCCAATCCGGTCCCTTTATTTATTCAATAATTTTATATATTAGTCACTTGGCGGGTGATTAATTAATAATAACTTTGTTTTCTCAAATACTACCCATATCGAAATTTATTAAGAGACTTAAAGTCTAAGGTAGTATTACTCTATGCTCTCAAATAGAGGCAATGTTAAAAAAAATTAGAAAAAAGTTAATATTTGATCCCTATAATTTTAACTCAATTAAAATTTAGTATCTAAACTTTAATTTGATAGAACGTAATCCTAAAGTTTTGATGACTCAATTAAAACTCAGTTTGTATAGTTTTATCTGTTTAATTAAAATGTTGGCCCCTACATTCTTAAAAATAAAACTATAAAAATAAATTTATTATTAAAGCTCAAGAACTAAAATTTTGTATGTTTAAAACTCTAATGATTAGAGATCAAGTTATATTGACTTAAAGTTAAAGGATGTTTTCACAACGGAGTCAAACTATAAAGATAGAGTTGTATCAAGTTCAAATTTAGAATTGAGTTGTATTAAGATACAATAAACTCAAAAATATAGAAACAGAATAATCAATTTTTCTATATTTATTTTATTTTTAAACAAAGTTTATGAGTTAACCATACACAGAGAGTAGAGGTTACTTATAATATAATAAGCGTGAGAACCAATAAAGGTTGGCTCTGTAATATCATGATTTTTAAGTAATAAATAAATTATGAAATTTTAGTTTTTATTAAGGATTTAAAA